AATGTGTTTTCTTTATTTCAAAAGTTTATCCATTGAGTAGAATGTTGGCCTTTATATAGGCAGGCAGAGTCTCAAAACAGATTTTTTACTGTGAAAAACCCCAATGCGTTGCTCTTAAAGCAATGGAAATCTTTACCATGACTCATACCTGGCTTAGATACATTTGTATTCGTTTTAATATTGTTCCTAACTACCTAAAGTTACAAAATTAATCGAAGTATTCTTAAGCAAGCTGAACCGTTTGTGAAACTATTATACATAGCTGTCGGCGATAGCTTGAACGGCTGAATTTCTAGAAGAGAAAGATAGGAGTCACAGAATTGCCCGGTCAATGGCATATAATTCACGACAAATTCACGACGAAGATATACACTATATAACAAATACTGCATCACTGTGGTACATTGATAGAGGTTTGCATATTCAAATTATCCTTGTGTAGAAAAGAAAAAGTTAAACGGGAAACAATTGCGATAGAAGAGAATGGAAAGGCTAAATATATATAAGTTATATATATAACTTTAAAGTTAGCACTAAGTTTTACCAAAAATCTACTATCATATTTAGCACTTCATTCCTCGTTTTTTTGATGAGGAATTTTGGATATATGAAAGTTTTACCTTCACACCTTTTCCAAATATGAAGTTTTAACAAGTTTTAGTATAGGTGATGCCAAGTACAGTTGCTGATTCTAAGGGAATTTAGTTCAGGCAAAGTGCTTCAATATAAGTTTGACTACGCCAAAGTTAAAGCTTAAAGATAGAACAGCTAGTTAATACTTTTTTAAACGTGGAAACTATCTTTTCCATTATGGTAACATCCCTTACACGTATTAATGATAAGAACTCGAGGCATGGAAACAATTTAAGGTCTAGCTGAGAGCTCGTATACCTCACATCTTTCCAATTTTCTTCTATAAGCGAATTTCAATTTCTTTAGTCAGTTTTGAGCACAATTAGATGTATAATGGAAAAGCCCATTAAAATACTTCCTTATAATATCTACATTACTTCTGAAAAGTAACAATTACATATGTCGGAAAAGAAAAATTACTTTTTTAGAAAACTTCATGTAAAACCGCAAGCATGCGCACTTGTATTAACTTCTCTTTTACCGCCGAGTCTTAAAGATCTCCAGGTGCTGGGGTCATTGATGATTGTTTTTGTTTTTCACGAGCGCGAAAGGCGAATGCATCGATGTGCTTGCCATTCGTGTTCTCATATTTTGCAAACAAATAATGTTTTGGCTGAAATTAATAATATTGTTAATTATTTATCCAAGTTAAGTGATTAAGGAATATCTACAATCGTCGTAAGCTGCAGCTAAATTCATCGTAGTTATTCTATTTGTAGTTTGTCATGATTGAAAGAGGCGCCAGAGCATAAGTGGGATATCACTTGTGTCAGCAAGATCTGCCCAGTGGGGCGGCGACGAAGTGGGCCGCTATAAACGTCGGCAAGTCTAATATGTCCGTGAGAACGTAGTATACATTATTCTGTATTAAGAAACTAGTTGGAGTTTTCTTGTAACGGCTACGACGGAACAATTATGAATGCTTTGTGCTAGTTTTCCTTATCGTCTTGCTTTTTTTTGAAGTACCGAATCCTTATCGAAGTGAATATACAATTTGAATAAAAATGCATTTGATCATCACATAATGGATTTACGCAGTGATAAGGCTCTGTCCCCATTAGGGAACTGTTAAATGCCACGAAAGGACCAGTAGCTACCGGACAATTAATAGACATTTTTGACAAAGGCTATGACGGTCCGTGATAATAGTAATGAAAGATCTGTGAGTTGTTTAATATTGCATTAAACATTTCACGAAAACAGCGAGACGGATTTTCTGTTGTTTTCTATTGTGATTTAAAAGTAAAGTTCGTGAGGTTTTTCGTTCAGGAACATAGGTCAAAGTACTTCGATGCTATCAAAAATGGCTCTAACAAAAAACTAAATATCTTCTAATGACCTTAGCGTATTCTAATTTTTGTGCTGCTCAAAATAGAACTTACGATAATTCTATTTTGAGTATATATATATATATATATATATAGAGAGAGAGAGAGAGAGAATTCCCGGACTAGACATAAATATATAGCCATTAGTAAAAATAATATCGAAATAACCTCGATACAATCCAAAGGTGTTCATGGAACTTTTAACTTCTCATCTCACTGATTGAATATAGGGATCTGATAATGATCTTATCAAGGTATCAAGGTACCACTAGTTTTCTTTATATATTTATTTAACAGATAATTAAATTTAATATTTAAGACAAATAAAGAAGCGACGATTCGCTTAGGCAGAAAATTAAACCACTGTAATATCATAAAGGAAGCTATAAGTTAACGAAAATCAAAGCTTTCTTTGAACACACTATTGCACTTCGTCGCTTCCATTCTATCTCACGGCAAAATTATTTATTCGTAAAACTGATTAACGCAAAAGATCCTCACGATGTAGAAAAAATTGCAGCCACATGTTGCGAACCAAGTGCACCCTCAATCAAAAAGGGGAAAAAACACGATAGGACTTAAAAGTCGAGGTTCTATTGTGGAAATGTGTTAGCCCGTTGATCGTGATATACTATAACGCCGTCGATCAATATTGTCGGAATCTAACATGCTTCTAAAAGCCTTTGGTTGTCATTTACAGCATATGGGCGTGATACAGACAGAACGGAGAATGAACGGCTATTTACCAGATTACGACGACGCTGACGGGGAATACAAAGGTGGTGGACCGGCACGGGTTTGGTTTGAGGATGGTCGAGAGATACAGGTGGTTCTTGTTGCTGGCGTTAATCCAAGAGTGTTTTGTGCAATTTGTGAATGTTTACCTCAGCGAGCGAACCTGATGCGGTGTGGAAACATCCTCTGTGATCGATGTGTGGGTCGTTATACGTTTCTCATGGAGCGGCCGTGCCCATGTGGACGAGGGGGAACCTGGGATTGCGGTAACCCCTTTCGATATCGTCTCGAAGACCGCCAGCTGAACGAGCTAATGGTCGAGTGTCCTAATCTTTCAGAAGGATGCGAGGTTTTTGTCCCTCTGATGGATTTAGACAGACATCTAGAGGAGTGCACTAAAGGACCGGTCTCCGTGCCTGCCACCTATGACCGACAACTCTTTGAGTGTGTTGTAAGTATGGTTGAGAACGTTTGCCTGGCTTTGAATGTAGGATTGGAACGGGATATGGAAACGACTGAGGAACAGATCGCGGCGTTTATAGACGCTCCTTTACATAAACCGCCGGCATCCATCTTTCAAGAACCTACAATGGTCCTTACTGAAGTTTGTAGTGTTGCACCTGATAATATTGATGATATAAACGCCTCTGGAAAAGTGACACAAACTGCAGCAGAACCACAAGGTACTGCTAATATTTTTCGTAAGGGAAAAATTTTGAAGAAAGAAAAGCGCGTGGTAAAAACGCCAGTAAGTACCAGTACAGTTCGTAAAATATCTAAATCTTCTCCACAAGGACATGCTCCTAGACTGAAGGAGCTTGAGGTTCTTTACACGGACGAAGGTGTACTAAAACTCCTTGAGTCAGGAGTCACCGGCAGGACAAGGGGATCAAGAAGGATCGCTGAGGATGGTCTTGGTCCACTTCCACCAAAGACACCTATTTTTACTGAACAAAAAACACCTGCCCCTTCTCTACAAAAGACAACAATTGTAGTTGATTCAGTTCCTGCTGCTTCAAAGGGCAATATAATCGAGTCTCAGTTGGAGACGAAAGACTTAGCCCCTCAGGTTGTTATTGAGCGGATAAGTCCCAGCGTTTCTCTATCAGAAACAACTCCGCGACTGGCGAAACGCGAAACTGATAAGAGAATCTCGCGTGAGTTACAAGCGCTGCTAGCGGCACAAGAAGAAGCGGGTGATGCTTTAATCAAGCCTGAGCACCCAACGAGAAGGGATAAATCGGAGACTCCAGTTTCCTCCGAGGATAAGAACAGATCAATATCGCCGGAGGCGCGAAAATCCAAACTAAATGCGCGAAAATCTACTGGGATCAGACGCATAAATAAATCTCAGCCAGATGCAGACGACTCAGATGAGCAGGATAACCAGCTTGCATTGCAGAAATCAAACGCAAAACTATCTCAGCAAAAGAGGGGGCGAAGTCGAAGCCGGGGACGCAGCAATCTTTTAATGAAGACCTCAGACGGAACGAATCAAAATTCTAACCAAAGTAAAACCACTGAATCACTTGATGTGCCACGGATACCGGACAAAGTGAAAGTTGTGCAGCGTATGCAAAATTGTAGTCAGACATCTTCAGTTCAAACTTTACGAAAGGAAAACGAACCAGACGTCGAACCAAAAACAAACAAGCCGTCAAAATCTTCTCTTATGAAAAATTTGTGTTCCACAGCTATAGAACCGGTCGACAATGAGGCAGTAATCCCTCAGCAAACGGAGGAACCATCTAAGGAGAAAACGTGAGTCCAAAACATAATAATCAGTCTGACTTTTGGAAATGTTTATTTGTTTATCGTGTTTATTCTGTGATTCCACGGCTCGATGACACGTTGATGGGATACATCATTTTTTTTTTAATCGAATGATGCGGTAATAGCTTGGCCTACGAAAATGTTACCTATATCCTTTGTAAACATGTTCTTACTGCGACTCATTTTTTTAAACTCATTATTTGAACACTTGATGGTGTAAAAGGGATTTTATTTTTCCTTGCGGTCTCATTTTTGGAAAAAATTTAATATATTTTGCTTCTTATAAAATACCTTCTTCTAACGTTTTAACAATCGGCGGGTCTCTCAGCTAATAAGGATTTCATTTGCCCATTTTTGGATATCTGCATTTGCATTTTAAGTCGCTTGCTCCAAACCTCTCTTTGCGTTGCCCTGAATAGGTTCACTCCAATGGAACAAGTGCTGGGCTACGCGTCGAGCGTGAAATAATATCTCATCTATGGATTGGGCCAAGTTTTTCGAAGTCTCAATGTTGGAAGTTGTTTGTACTTTAATCACTGCTTTCTTAGCCACCGATAGTGGTAACACGACTCACTTGCTCACTCTTTACTGTCCCAACCGCACTTTTACGGATAAATTGTGAAAAAAGCCCTGTCGCGTATGCAACTCGCATCGCGCAGGTCAACTCAGTCGAAATAATAGCAGTATAACAATAGCAAAACGATTAAAAAAGCGGTATGCCAATTTTCGGACCGAACGGCTAAATAGAACGCACTAAAAATTAAGCTTGAAAGCTTTCCGACCGTTCTTATCGTACGGTGCACTGATTCCAAACGCATACCTGCTGCTTGCAACCACTATATATACCAATACATAACGTAATATTTTACAAAAATTTAACAAAAATGCACCGATGTAGAATTATATTTCGTAGAAAAATCAATAACAATCTGCTCGGATAACTTGGTTAAACGTATTCAATATTAACACAACTTTTTTTTATTTAAATATATTTGTAGCGCGATGTATATAATGTAGTATTTGTTGTTTTAGGGGATTACTAATTTAGTTATTATAATTAAGGGATCTATCGTTGTTTAATATCGCACTCATCGAACTTATAATCATATTACAAATGTAGATAATATTTATGGTCGTTTTTGTGATTTCAGTAAGAGAAAATCTGCCATGATTGCAGCAGTGCAACCTAAAAGCAATGAAGGTGGCACTTTTGTTTCTCCACATTCGAATGAAAACACAGATAATGAAGTTGTTCGACGAAGAACCCGAAGTCGCTTCCGCGCCCGGTCCAAACCAAAGATACCACTCGAAGCCGACAGCCAAATTCATCTGAAGTCTACGGCACCAACCACAAGGAGTCGCAGTAGACCCAGAGTGGCTAAAATGTCCGTCGAACAAGAGTCTTCTAATAACGAAGACATCGTTGCAGATTCTAAAACTTTACAGAAAGGATCTATAGAGGTACAGAAAAAGGAAGACAGTGAAGAATTGCATTCGAATGCGGATGGTGTTTCTTCATCGTTGACAAACGTGTAAGCTCAACAGGAAGGGATGGTATCATTTCTCAAAGCAGTCTGGTTAAAATCTGTTTTATAGAACAACTACGGTTTGCCGTGCATGAGAGGGTAAAGACGGTTGAGATTTGGCACGCAAACTGCGTGTCAAACTCATGCGCTTACTAAAAAAATGAACAGAAATAATATAATTATAGCAATTACTGTATTGTGTTCATGAAAGCCAATAAAGACCACTAACATATTAACTCCGATTTCCATTTTTAGCACCCCAAGGCCTACTACTGATGAAGTCTTGCCAGGCGGCCTCGATATGCCTCCAACTGACAAGGCACAACAACACGCAGAGTTGACTGGTGCTGTTTTTAAGGTGCCGGTCAAACCGTCTCTTGAGACAAGTGTCGCAGACGCAAACTCTCAAGTTAAAAACCAGTCTCAAGAAGAAGTTAAGTCACAAAGGTAAAAAAATTATATTATTTACATCCTTTACCGTTCTAAGCTAATAAATTTGGTGTAGTCACTATTCACATTGTGCACCGTATCAGTTAGCTATTTTGCACGGCTTGAGTAAATGTACATAATGCATTGAGGAAAATAAAAATATTCTACCAACATTGCTAGAACTTCGACTTCATTTTGTACAACTAGCGATCTGATTCAACCGCATTGCATGAAATCATATCTATAGAACCAATATTACATACAATATTTATTACAATGTTTACCAATGCAGCTCTCACATCTTGCTTCTTGCAGACTAGACTAGACTTCTTGCGAACCGCAAATCTGGGGAACTAGATCGATCGGTGCGGTTCCAACCTTAAGTTCTCAAGCATTGCTGGTGGCATAAAGACCAAGGAATTTACTCCTCTAAAACTTATTCTGTAACTGTTTCTGCAGATACGATACGTTGCTGTTCCATATAGGAAGAATGTTTTGGAAATATGTCCAATGAAAAACGAGGCACCGGTCAGAGGCGGTTTTGGGTTTAAATGTTAAAACCAGATGCCAATTTTAGAAGGGCTCGTTTATCGTTGGATATGATATGTTAAGCTCCTTCCAATTGATGTGCATATTGTACGTCATAGTTGGTTCAGATCGAGTCATTTGACGGCGGTGTCCACCGATAACTTTTGCGATTTGTCAATACCGACAGCCGCGCCCATTGTCTTCTCGTCTCTCCTTTCAATGTCCGCCGAACAAAAAAAGCCTTTAGATGTTGTTGAACCTAAACCGAGCACCGCGAATGAACAGAGTATTTCAGGTTTTTACCGACGAGGTGAAACGTATCAGTGCTTCCCCTTCTAAACTGCATGGCTTCGTCTTATTTATTTGGGGGCCAAGCTTTTTAGTGAAATTGTGCAGAGTAGCTAGCGTTTACTCTATGTGAATCTACTACTGTAATCTACGAAATCGTGGGCGTACAAAATGCCCTTGCTTGATTCGTAAAATGATGTCACTCATGAGAAGCAAAAAAAGCGATGGACTTAGGTTGCGAATCGTAGTCGCTTTTCTGTATTACCTCATCGTCGATTATAATTACATTTCTTAACATGACATTTTTATAGTCATGCAGACAGCCTGAGTATTTCTCTGTTTTGCGATCTTTCTTAGTATGAATCTTGCGTCTTAATACGGAATCAAGCGCTACCTTGGAAAAATGGAGAAGATAAGTTGGTCTGGACGATACAACGTCACTTTAATTTCATTCATCTTAAACCTTATAGCCCGTCGTCGTTAATCTATCGTTGTAAAATTCATATTGTCCCTCACGTATTACAGTTCGAATGTAACGAATTATTAGTCATCGTGTTGGAAATATAGGTATACTGACGCTATTGGACATCGTTTCAAACAGGGTGATTAAGGTGATACAAAGAGCCGTAACGTTATACATCAATTTTGTTTTGCTGCAGCGTTCCAGCGCTTGAGCCCACTGCTTCGAAAGTTGAGGAAAATCAGTTCGAGCCTCTCATGATTCCTTCTTTGAGGCGGCCTTCTATAGAGAACGACATTAATAACGGCAGTAGTAAATCAGATTCTAAGGACATGTTTAAATCGAGCGGAACAGTCCGCGACCCCCGCAAGGATAGCCAGAGTGTCGCCAAGTCCGACGTTAAGATTCTGCAGAGTTCTGATAATTCCAAATCACAAGTGGCGTGTCAAAGGTAATAATATATATATATATATATATATATCAGTAAGCTAATTCTAATACTTGGCAATGCGTTTTACTCTATTTCAATGAAATATGATCATGGTTAGGGCAAAATATGCGAAAAAACTAGTGGCATGCATAGGAATTTTATATTCAAAAAAGAAAACTGGTTCGGACGTTAGTACTTCTTGCCTACCCAGCCTGTAACCGTGGATTTCTACTAACAGGAAAACTCGGGTATTAATCGCATAATTTATAACTTTTAAGTTAAGTGCTTTCAACTGAGTCAAATCTCTGTGTGGCAGCTATCAATCATTTTACTCGTTCCCTCAATATAGGTGCTGATATTTTTATTGGTTTTAGTGACGTTGCTGGAAGCGTAGCCGCAACGACCTCCGCAAACTCCGCCATCTCACAAAAGGAAGTTCAGGAACCGCGACAACGAAAAGACGCGAGCAGTCGGCCGACTACAACAAGAAGAAACAATACTGAACGTCCGAAAGCAAATATATTTAAAATTCCTAAGAGGTATTCTACGGATGTGCCGCAAGAACTGGGATCACCTATAGCTGTAATTGGGGGATCCAGTTCAGATACTTTGAGCTGGCAGGTTCAAGGTAGCTTGCTGCGGAGGAGGACACAGAATAAAGAAAGTGCCGGCGACATCACAGATGAGCCCAAAAGAAAGCGAGACAAAACAGCTCGATGGAACTCACCGACAAGCACAGACAGTAGCGGGAGTCGAGCATCTCGTAAAGAAGACAGCTCCTGTTGGTCGTCACACGGAACAAGAACTGATCCAGTTAATTTAAAAAAATTCGTGCCACAGGATTCAGACGGCCAGTATCCTGCCAAAATTTCTCTTCATGCTAAAAGCGATTCGCGAGAGCCGACCGAACCTCTCTCCAGTAATGACAAACTTTGCGAGAGGAAGAGGTCACATTCACCACGCTCAAAAGGGACACCCCACCGTAGCCCCTCAAGTGGGCGTTACTTAAGGACTCAGAGTCGTCATCGAAGTCGGTCTAGACCACGCGACGACCCTCGAGCAAGAAGCAGCAGTTATTACCGCGGTGAGCGGCATTATGGCCCACGACGAAACTATGACGAGCGTACACCGCTCATCCGTTACGCTCATAATGACGGCGCATCTGGCAGTCGCGATTACAGCGACACGCAAGTAGCTTATAGTAGTGACAAGCAAGAACACGCATTAATGCGCGATCGTAAGAGATTCGCGTATATCGAAGCGGTGCAGCGACTTGGCCCAAATTCGGTTGACAATAAAATCTGTGATTTACCCGCACAAATGGCACACCACCAACCGGATCAAAGCCGTCCACATGATACTTTATGTCGCGAGATTCCTGTTGAGCCCTTAATGGTTATAAAGCTACCACAACGTAAACCCTCAGAGCGTCCTGTTCGATCCGTCGTTGAACTTCCTCGTCCTATGTTTGTGCCAGATGGACAGGAAGTAAAAGGGGTTGTTGAAAGGGAATCTATACGGGATATACCAGAGTCTCGAGATAAGTCCGCTGTTGAGCGTCGTATCTCAAATAGAGATCCACGTTTCAATAGGCGAGGTGGACATCCTGCTGAAGCTGCCGTAGCGCGTCCTAGTGCCGGTAGCACTAGCTCTCTTGGACCCTTAACTATGAGTCTCGATGAAATGACCAATGCAATTGAAACGGCACTACTTCAGCTTGGGCGGCACAGAGGAGATAATTCGTTATATGAGCAATTTACACGCGATTATGGCAACTGTCGAAATCAGGAGGAGCAGCGCGTTATTGCATCACGATATTGGGCGGTTTACGCGGCCGGAGTACATCGATACGGTCAGGATACGGGCGGATTCTCTGCTGGCTGTCATATGGTGCCAGGAATCCAGCAAGATCCAGCTGGAATACCGTATGTATCTGAACAAACTGGAAAACTACCACAGGCATCCAACTTTGTTACCCAGCCGTACGGTGCTGCAGGGCTTCATAAGAATTTACTGCAACCACATTATATGGGTCAACATCAGCGTCTTCCGGTTGATTCAAATACACCAGCTCAACAAATGCATTCACAATACGTGCAGAGTCAATATATTGACCCATTTCCGACGGGACCTAACTCGTATCAGCCTCTTGCTGTTCAAGGCCGACCTGGAGACACGAGAGCACCTTTATTCATTATGGATGATGATGGTTCGCGATTTTCGGACGATGAAGAAAAAGACTGTCAATCGCGCCGTTCTCTTGGCAGAAGACGCAGCAGAAGTAGAGGCTCTAACTCAAGTAAGTTCATCTCTAGTCTGAACTTTCTTTCTGGTCTCCTACTAGTTACACAAATGTGACAACATCAAATTTTCCTGCGAAGGAATGCGTGACTTTGACGTAGTTGTAAACAAAACTTGGTTGTAGGAGCTATCTAGCCAAAAGCTATTCATAAAATGATGGATACGGTACAGAGTGACCTGTAAGCCTATAAACCCAGTTGTCATTGATTTTTATTTAGATGACAAGTTGATTGATTAAAACATACCTGTTAAGCAACTATCGTCATAAGCTACAGCATGTGTTTAAGTATCTCAAATGAAATTTGTAGCATGAATTCAAAGACACCGATGCTTTACTGGGAAACTCCATCCTAAAGCAACCCGTCACGACACACCATTTTATGATAGTACTCTTTCATTTTAAGAGACCCATCCTCTCCTGATGCATAAATCTGACATGTGTTATTTCATTCTGTGCATAGGGTGGAGAGGAGTTGGCAGTGCAGGCTTCCGACCAGACGTCGACCGCAGATCAAGATATTAGATATCCTTTTCTCGTCAGTTAACACTATTTTGTAAAAATCTTGGTTGAAACGAAACCAATTAAATATTTAAGAAAAAAAAACGTATTTTTATTTTATTCTATTGTAAGGTAGTTATCTTCTTCACATTTTAAAGACATTGGTGGTTCAACGATCGACATACAGCTGGAATCTTGCATTGAATGAAAACAACATTCGATAGCTTCTGTTAATTTTTCTCAGTTACCATTAGGTAATGCCAGTAAACATATCAGTGGTATTTGCGCTTGTAGATAGGAAGAAATTATTTATGATTTTAGGACTTCAACTAAGTGTAGGCAATCGTTCTTTCTCAGACGGCGCTTAGAACGTAAGGGATATTTACCACGGCGTTGAAATAAATAGAGAACGGAGGATTCTCACTAGTTTACAGATCATAATCCAAAGTGGATATCTCATGTATGTTATATATATATATATATATATATATATAAACCGAGATTCGGAGTAATAAAATTGGAGTAATATTCAGTTGCGCAGTACTGAGCAAGCGCAGGTATCCTTTGTGTTTTTCAACTGTAATGGTCGTCGTTAAGTTTATACTATGTTGTAACTTTTCATAATGGTTTGTCAAAAATCTACACTAGTGCATTTTTTGTTGTTGTTTTAATTTGTCGTGGTTCCTTATTCAATAGATTCAGCAAGAACCAGCAGGCTCTGTATGCAGCTGCATGTAGAGATGCCTGACTAATGTGCATATCATCGCGCTGCTTAATCAGTCAGTACTCATGCTATACTTCAAACGGATGCGTTGTGTCCTAACCAGCGATTCCCGACTTCTTCAGCAAAAAAACTTCATTAGTCTTAGTTCTTAATTGTCTCTGAACGTGCAATAGACCGCAAGTCAGTAACAGGTGGCTCTGATATATTTTAAGCCAATCGAAAAAAATCGGATACAGTTTTAATGGAATATAAAGCTGATTACAATTTCAAGGAATGTTAGCCACTTCTGAAGTGTATACTGCGGCGTTATTGTGTAAGCATCCTAAGTAGCAGCAGTGGAATCGGTGACAGACTGTCTATTCAACGGATTCCTTTATAGGAAAAAGTAAAGAGAGTAATGGACAGCTTTTTTGTCTGTATGACGTTCTCTCGACAACATCGTTAATTGTGTAACGGCCTTGCAGGAAGTCGGTAACTTTATTCTAGCTTAACTGATTATATCCACGTTCATCTATGATGCCATCGCATACACGTTTTTTTTCAAACTTAATATCTTGATCTGTTATAAGCAAATTGGTAGACTTTGAAATTGAATCAGTTTTGAGCAATGTGGCTCTAGTAGACGAATTTTTCTTGTTAAATTTTTTCCAGAAACTTATTAGTGAAAATTGTTTAGTTTACTCTAGAAGAAATGAGTTCAGAGGAAATTTTAGTCTGGAAAGTCACCGCTCAGTGATCAGGTTTTGTCCCTTGAAGGTCATAGCGCTACGGAAACCCATCGATGATTCGTAAAGATACTAGGCAAGGAGTCTTTGGACAAAAGCAGTACGTGAGTGGTACAAATATTTTAATGACGGGAACTGGAGTGTTGAAGACTAACGAGGAAGGGACAAGATGGCGCGACCCAAAGGACAAAAAAAAATTGCTGCAATAGAGGAAACTTTTCTAGAAAGCAGAGCTTGGAGCCTAAGCACTCTGTCGGCCAAAACTGGCATTTCGCATCCAACGAATTTCAGTCCGAATGCTGAGAGTTCTGAAGCTGAATAAAGAACGGGTCCTCCTGAATTGACTCTAAAGAAGTTGGAAGTTCGTGTGGTGTATTCCATGTTCAATTTTCGAAACTTTATTCAACAAAAAACACATTTGGAGCATACCGTCACCGTAAACGAGATACGATTTAATTATTACCATTAGCCAGAAAACAACCAGCCGAGAGAATGACGTCGTCCTGGCCCGAGATCGGTGGCAGTGTGGAATAGGTTCGAACGTAAGGTAATTGTGGTCTTTTCAAAGTACATCAGGGGCATGTGCTATAATGAAAATATTACTTGTCAAAAATGAAAAGTGCAGCCCATTATCTGGACCCAAACTCAGGCTTTTGATACAGCACACCGAAGAATGGAGTCTGGCTGCTTGATAACAACGCCAGATCCACAGCTACGCCTTATACTTCCTGGATTGAGTAAAGGAACATATAACGTTGGCTCCAGTTAAAGTCTGTGCAATAGGCTTTTATGCACTGAACAGGGCAAGTACATGGGTAGTAAACTAATGAACAAGTACGATCGATTTATAGCGGGAAGCGACAGATAGAGAAATTACACATAAAACGCTAGAACGGGTATTTAAAAAATAACGAGGGTATTTCGCATTTATACATGCTAAAAGATCATCATTCTAATCCAACTCGCTCAAAAGTTATTCAGTTTCAAAGCCGATTCGATCCACTTGTGTAGCTTAATATTTATAATAGCAAGCCGACAAAAAAGATTATTTAAGAGAAGAGTTCGGACGAGATTGGAAAATAACGCTTCGTCCGCGGCTTCATGTCCTCGTAATTCTGAATTTTTGATCTACAAGGTAAAACAAAAAAAGGTATACAATCGAATTACAATGCTGTTCGTATCATGACAATCCATAAAGCAAAGGTCACCTGTAGTATTTTTAATTAGTACACAATATGTGGCCAGAAATGGCGGAAACAATATTTCGATGAAATAGAAATGCCATTTTAGTGTGAAGAAAAGTATTATCGTTTGCGACCAAGTGGCAAAAAGAAGCTCGAAAACGAGTACAACTTTATATCGGTTTCGCTCGACAACACTTGGTGACGGATTTTAATTGTCTGGATGATAATCAGGCCCTCGTCGGCGTTGTGTTCTTTTATGCAATTTAGAATGACACTCAGATCACTGTTTACTTGATATAAAACAATGCGAATTTTATATGAACACTTAATATACTAATGTGCCACAACTTAGTGCGGCAAGGCACTTAACGTTATGTATGCACGTGGAATAGAGTTAATTCACAGCAGATCTATCTTTTACCGTTTACGTATTTTCAGTATTTGAGTTGTAATTCTGTAGCACGTTGCATACAAAACGCTAGTTTTGGCTGACAAAGCCCTTAGACCCCAAGTTCGTAAAAGGTTTCCTCAATCGCGCCAATGCGGTCTTGTCCTTCGGGTCCCGACAGCTCCTCGCCGGTCTTCAACACTCTAACCCCCATTCTTAAAGCATTTGCACCATTCACATACTATACTTTCGCTTAAGGCTTCCTTGTCTAATGATCTTTGATGCTTTTACCAATCTTTGATGAATTTCCCTAGTGCTGTAGTTTTCGAAAGACAAAAACTTGACCATTGACCTTCCTAGACTAAGATTTTTTTTCTTCTATCTCCTAAAGTTTCAGGTTACTCAGTTGGTTTTCAGTCGCAAGTTTCTAGAAGGCCGAATAATTTAGTAGAAAATGTTGACTTGCGGCACATAGCTCAAAAGTTAATCACTTTTAAGTTTATGGGATCGGCTTGTAACAGATATATATATATATATATAGATGTGTCTGTGTCTCTATAAAATTCGTACAGCTGAAACGCTTAACTTGAGCACCGACTACTTTTGGCGGTGCCACATTACAAATTTAGAGCTCACAGGGTTACGTGATCTTAGTTAACCTCGACCTCGAGGATTAAAATCAAATATGTAGAGAAAAACTGTAAATGGCAATTATCCCCTATAGAGAGCAGACGTTTAAAAACACAGTTTGTCAAAACACATAGCTACAAAATCCATGATAACATTTATCACAAAATCGACGGTAATCACCTATCCATATATCATCTAAATCGCAGCATTTGTAGAGAATCAGATGTATGTGATACATGTAAGCCAGCTTTGGATCGAAAGGCACCATCAGCAAGATGTATGGAAAAGATTATGTTTACGACTTGTTTTGTAGTCTCTTCATGACGATCTGTTTTCCGACTGCTACTTATGCCTGAGACACTGTGTATAGTAACTCTCGCGTAAACGTAGTAAAGTACGGAATGTTGTAGAACTCAGAAAAGTCTTAGGAAAACATTAGAATATGCTATGAATCCTTGTGGTTTTAAGGGAAGAGATCAGAGTGTGGAGAATATCAAGAAGGAAATCCCGAACGTTAAATGGCATTCTTTCGGAGGTATCAAGGTACTCCTAGCAGGGCGCTTAAAATTTTTTGGAAAAATGATGAGCTCGAAACGGATGTTTTATTCTGAAATGGAGCGAACCGCGCTTGACACATATAGAAGACAGAAGGGCTTCTCAACGAGTCATCTGCGTACAGACCGATTTGTCTGCTGTGTGTCATAGCAAAGGCCATATAAAAAGTTATAGGAATGAAGCTGGTGGCAGATATGTAAGAGAAGGGCTTCCTGTCGGAATATCAGTACCGTTTCCAATAAACTGATTCACCAGGACCGCCTTTGAAAGTGCATTTAAATTGCTAGAAGAAAATGACGGCAATAAACATACCAGTAAGTCATTGAATTAAAGGCTTGAACTCAATTATTAAAATAAGATATTGAAAGCAATGAAAAAATAAAATTTAACTTTATTTCAGAAGACTAATCCCCTATCTTTTATAAAAAAAAAAAAAAGGCAAAAATTCGTTCTAGGACAAGTAATCTTGATTTTCTGTACAATATAGTTGTAAGATTGACACACTTGGAGGGTACGAAGAATATAACATGTGTGAACACGACTTGGCTGCCATCTCAAAAGCGAAAGAAAAACAGAACTGGAACGGAGATGCAAAGGTAATGCTAGAAGATATTATACCCTTTATAAGACGAAAGAATGTCCAGGCCTACATATAACTCTGGAGGGTAAAGAAACAGATTAGGTATTTTGGCTATCCTGAACAAACGATCGACACGAAAAAGCGATGCCCGAAGGAATGGATGAACGCGGGGGTAGTTTGAATACCGAAACCGAGGACGATGAACGCAATGGCGTATAGGCCTGTCTGCCTTCTCAATACGGCCACAAAAATCATATGGAACATTAACATGAATAGGTTAAACTAACCAAGCTTTGTCGGACTATCGGTTTGGGTTCATCGCTACTACTATGAGAACACCGAAGAGGGCAGGAAGAGGATATGAACCTACGTCCCCCCCTCCCCCCGCCGGATATCATAAGATGTTAGGAACGCATTCAACATACCAAACTGGAGGCGATTATATGTGCTTAGGAGCAAAAGGGTATTCCGCCATATCTCTTGTGAATAATATGTTTGTATCTAAAAGCTAAATTGTTCAGGCTGGGAGTCTCAAAGTCGCAGAGGTCACAGCAGGGGTTCTACTAGAGTCGGTCTTTTCACCGGCTTTGTGGAATATCGTTTACGGTGAGGTGGTTAACACACAGAACATGGCGGATCACACAGTCAACTATATCGGTCTTTTTTAAAGAACGGCTAGAAGAAAGG